AATCCCCTCTTCTCGATGTAGTCACAGAAAATTGAGATGTAATTTGATACCATAAAATTCACCCTTTTGAGGTGGTTTTTAGTATTTTTATAGAGTGGTGAAATGTCACCACTATATAATTTTCAAAAATATTTTTCTGAAGATTTTATTTATTTATTTGCCAGAGAGAGAGCACAAGAAGGGGGAGCATCAGAGGGAAAGGGAGAAGCAGGCTTCCTGCTGAGCAGGGAGCCAGATTCGGGGCTCGATCCCAGGACCCTGAGATCATGACCTGAACCAAAGGCAGACGCTTAACGACCGAGCCTCCCAAGAGTCCTGGACATCCAACTCTTGATCTCAGCTCAGGTCTTGATCTTTGGGTCATGAGGTCAAACCCCGTGCTGGGCTCCATGCATGGAGCCTATGTAAAAAAAAAAAAAAAAAGACCTTCAACTGACAGTTCATGAACCACACATGACCCACAGACTTTCTTCATTTGGCTTTTATTAGAATACACACACATATATATAAAGCAGCCAACGTTTTGGTTGATTTTACCTAAAAACCCAGATTTCCAGCTTCTGTTGGAAAATCGGGACAAACATTATTCGTAGAGCTGTGTGGCTGCTGTCCCTAGAGACAGGCATGTGGTCCTTCCCAATTCTGTCCCCTGGTCCCCTTGGCCACCTGTCTCCTGCTTGGCCTCTTTACCCTGGTGAATTCATGACCCTTGTCTTTTCTTTTTTTCTGGTTTTATCCTGGGGACGAATGCTGACTCTGTCCCCAGGGATAGCTGTGGAACGGTTCTGAGATAATCTTCTAATAGTCATCCTGTTTCTCTCCCATTCTTTTTTTTTTTTTTTTTTACCTGTGGTGGGGGCACAGTTCTTTTTTTTTTTTTTTTTTAAAGATTTTATTTATTTGGGGTGCCTGGGTGGCTCAGTGGGTAAAGCCTCTGCCTTCGGCTCAGGTCATGATCTCAGGGTCCTGGGATCGAGCCCCGCATCGGGCTCTCTGCTCAGTGGGGAGCCTGCTTCCTCCTCTCTCTCTGCCTGCCTCTCTGCCTGCTTGTGATCTCTCTCTGTCAAATAAATAAATAAAATCTTTAAAAAAAAAAAAGATTTTATTTATTTGACAGAGAGATCACAAGTAGGCAGAGAGAGAGGAAGGAAGCAGGCTCCCCACTGAGCAGAGAGCCCGACGCGGGACTTGATCCCAGGACCCTGAGATTATGACCTGAGCTGAAGGCAGAGGCTTTAACCCACTGAGCCACCCAGGCGTCCCCCCATTCTTTTTTTTTTAAATAGTTTATTTATTTATTTGAGAGAGAGACAGTGAGAGAGAGCATGAGAGAGGAGAAGGTCAGAGGGAGAAGCAGACTCCCCATGGAGCTGGGAGCCTGTTGTGGGACTCCATCCTGGGACTCCATCCCGGGACTCTGGGATCATGACCTGAGCTGAAGGCAATTGCTTAACCAGCTGAGCCACCCAGGCGCCCTTCTCTCCCATTCTTACTACTCCTTTGGAATAATGGCAGAGCAGAGCATATGCATAGGAGGACCATATCTGCCGGCCGTTAGTGGTGGAGACTTAGGGATTGTCAGGTCTAAGACAACAGGTCTCAGTGAGATTGCTCAGGAGAAGTGTGGCAGCAGAGAGCGAAAGCCATCCAGGATGGACCACTGAAGAAGGCAGAGAGCAAACAAGTCAGAGAGGATGGTCAGCGGGTGGGAAGGGAAATCAGGTATGTGTGGAGTCATAGAAGTCAAATGAAGAGAATGGGTCAAGAAAAGAACCAAACGGGGCGCCTGGGTGGCTCAGTGGGTTAAGCCTCTGCCTTTGGCTCAAGTCATAGTCTCAGGGTCCTGGGATCAAGCCCCATATCGGGCTCTCTGCTCAGCGGGGAGCCTGCTTCCCCTTCTTCCTCTGCCTGCCTCTCTGCCTACTTGTGATCTCTCTCTCTCTCTCTCTCTCTGTCAAATAAATAAATAAAATCTTCAATAAAAGAAAAGGAAAGGACCAAAATGTCTAATGCTGCCCACAGGAGGCTATACAGTGTTCTTTAATTAAACTATGCAGGTCAGGGATGCCTGGGTGCCTCAGTCAACTGGGCCTCTGCCTTCGGCTCAGGTTGTGATCCCAGAGTCCTGGGTTGAGCCCTACATCAAGTTCCTTGCTGAGCGGGGAGCCTGCTTCTCCCTCTGCTGCTCCCCCTGCTTGTGTTTCTCTCTCTCGTTCTCTCTCTGTTAAATAAATAAACAAACAAACAAATAAATAAATAAAATCTTTCATTATTATGGTGAGAGCATAAGGGGAGAGGAGAAAATGTAGGCTGTTAGGACAGACAGCTCTTTCCAGAAGTTTGGCCGTGAAGGCAGTGCAAGGTCACATGGGGTGAACTGTGGAGAATTGGTTGTTGGTTGGCTGGTTGTTTTAAGGTGGAAGAGATTTGAACTTGTTTATAGAGGGAGTAGTCTGGGTCTTGTGATGTTGTGAACGGTATAACCTGACGAGTTCATCCCCACCAGGAAACATGTAGAAATTCGGCTTAAAATCAAGTAAACATCCTTCAGAACGCACAACTGGGTTTTGGGAAAGGAAGGGGATTCCCCCCACACACACACAAAGAGGAAATTAAAAAACCAGAGCTTTGAGGCTATAGATCTTGGCAACACAGGGGCTTGGGTTCTACCCTCACCTAGAGATTGGAGATGAGGTCTCTCCTGAGCCATTGAAAACAGGGACCCTAATATGAAATTCCTCCCTCCTTAGAGGGGGACACCCTCAGTGAAAGAGTAAACTGGGAAAAAAAGCTTTCTATCAGGGAATCTGGGTGGCTCAGTCTTAAGTGTCTGCCTTCGGCTCAGGTCATGATCCCAGGGTCCTAGGATAGAGCCCCGTGTTCGGTTCCCTGCTCTGCGGGAAGCCTACTTCTCCCTCTCCCACTCCCCTTGCTTGTGTTCCCTCTCTCGCTGTGTGTGTCTCTCTCTCTGTCAAATAAATTAATTAATTAAATTAAATAAAAAATCTTTCCATCAGCTCAGAGGGCACAGAAGAACCTTGCCGTCTTCACCCTGAGATCTGATGGCAATAGAAAATCTTTCCCGGCAAGCCCAAGGCTTGCCCTGGCTCAGATTTGGGGTTCGAGTTGACACCATCTGCAGGGTCATGGAAAGCCAGATAGAGTGAACAAATAACACGGTCCAGGGTTGGGTATACCCTTGAAGCATCCTTGAGGGGAGCAAACCCGGAACCTTTCTAGAAAGACACCCTCAAACCTAGTCACGTGGCTTCCCACTGATAAGGCCCTGCGGACTCTGAGTTCACAGCCCCAAATTAGAAACTTAAGAGGAAACCATCTGTCATGATTGAAAGTAAGCACTCTAGGACTCCAGACAACAGAGTTATAGGAAGAATTTTATAAAAAGGACTCAACGTGAGCAAGTAACAAGAGGGGGTTAAAAACAAGAGGCAGAGGTTTAAGACAAAGAGGAAGGATAAAGGGTAAAACTAACACCCTGTGAATCCACCAGCCTGGCAGTCCATTCCCCTTTCCTTGGGCTCCTGGAACGTGTGGCCCCTGGTCTGGGTCTGGGAACATAAAGGTGACTCTGGGAACAGCAGACGGGGCGCGGCGGTGGCGGGAAACTCACGCTCATCCACGCATGCGCACACCTGTCCTTCATGTCACTGCGTCCTTAAAGGTCAAGCTAGAAAAGTCTGCATAGGGCATTTCGCTCAACTTTCAACTTTCTTGAGCAGAAAAAGAGCGTGAGTCCCAGTAACAGAACAACCACTTTCCTGAAGTCTCCGAGCGCATGGGTGGCAAAGCCAGATGGAGAGCGGGGCCAACACTGCATGTCTGTGTGTTTCCCTGCTGGACTCTTTGGTCCCCGTGGGCAGAGTCCCTGCAAACCGGTCCTGTCAGCTGACGGTGACCGTGAGAAGTGACACCGTTATCCAGCTCCTGAGGGACGGAGATGGGGCGGGAGCCCTGATCCCTAGCTTGGATCAGTTCTGTGTCCGTGTCTTACGCCACCCCCGTTCAACCCCACCCCTGCCACTGGAGGGACTGAACTCTTCGAGAGCAGGGGCTAGGTCTGATTCCTCCGCCCCCAGGGCCTGGCTCAGAGTGCCCTGCCGTTACTTCGACTTCCTTCCTTTAAGCATCCAGGGGGACCGAGGGGAGGTCCAGCCCAAGTGCTCTGAGCCTCTCCTGAGCAGGCAGGAAGAGCTGACTCTTGGCCCCTGTCCAGCAGCATTTCCTGGGTGTGAACCGGGAGCGGGGGTGGGGTGTGGGGTGGGGGGGCTGTTTCCTGGCCATTAAGTAGCACAGGATGGCTCCTTCCTTTGTAGGACTCTCAGTTTGTTTCAGTACTTGGGGGCGGGGGTGGGGAGTGGGGGAGGTTGCAGGGTGGTACAGAATGTCTAACACTTTCCTAACCCTTGTTGATCCTTTGGTTCCCTTTTAACAAAGTACGGGTCTTTGAGTCAATGAATGCTTCCAGCAGGGAGGGAACAAGGTCTAAGTAGTATCTTTGTTTACCTTGTAATATCTTGGTTTACCTTGTTATTTCTTCTCATGTTGTACCTTCTATTTATGTCAAGTGATACTGGTTTTCCATTTGCAGAAGTGATACCAAAAAGGTTCCTTTCAAAATAAATTTATTAAGCAAATAGTAAGTCATCTTAAAGAAAAACATAAAGTAAATAATAGGACAGGTGGTAAAGCGATTGGACAAAAATCCCAACCATCCATGACTGAAGCTGGGGAAATCGGACCCCTTGGGAATGGAAACTCCTTCCCCTCTCTCCAGCTCCTGGCTCCGATCCCAGAGAGGAGGTCAGCTCAGAGAGATGACTTTAGGGCCAAGGACATCTCTGGGCTCCATTTCTCCAGGGTGGAGCCTTTTAAATAAGCCTGCCTTGGGGCAGATCTGTCTCTCTGGACTGATTCAGCGAGCTGGGAGGGAGGGTAGCCACAGCTGGGAGGGAGGGTAGCCACAGCTGGGAGGGAGGGTAGCTAGGAGCTGCTCTGTCCTCGGGCAGGGTTCCTTTCCGCTGGCCTCCCTCACCCTGGAGGGGTCAGAGTCGGAGGGCTGCCTGCTGATTGCCACTGATGCAAAGTCCCAGCTGTAGGAAGGAAGGGCCTCTCCAGTTTGGCTAACCAAGTCCCTGTTGCAAGATGGGAGTCAAAGCCACAGTTGAGCTGTAATAAGACGTTCCTTTGCCTGGTCTTGACCTCTGTGTGTGTGTTTCTGGGAGGTGTGATCTGTGGCTCCAGGAGGCTGGCTTCCTGTCCTCTCCTGCTGGCGGGACAGACCCTCATCACCCACACTCAGCCTGTTCTTTGGCATCCATGGGACTCCTGCACTCCGGTCCCGGCATCTTAGGTACACAAGGAAGGAAGGTGGAAGCCTCGTGATGATGCTATTTTCTGCCTCTTTGGTACCTTGAGATCTGAATCTGCAACGTGATTTTGGTGGCTTCTGGCCCAGAGTCTGCCCCACCCCCAGTTCTCCACGCTGCTTGCAGCAGGCTGCAACCCCAGGCAGCCAGAAGGAGCACTTCTGAGCTTCCCCTGGAGCATCAGTTCTGTCCACACGGAGCCTGTCCAGGGTGGGGGCCCAGATCCAGGGAATTGAAATCCAGATGTAAAAGGCCGGCAGCACGTTGGGGGGCATTCTTCCTGGGGCCCCGGGTATCAGCTTGGGTTCCTGAGCTAGAGCTTCAGGTCCTTAAGGCCTCAGAGAGACTCTGAGATAGGGCCTTCCTCAGGGGTCTTTGGGAGGCCAACCCCCAGGACATGGGGATTCAGAACCCCACACTGGTCCGACTTTCGCGCCTCCAGAAAGCGGAGATCTGCTCCAGGGTGACCCGAGGCTGGGGGCCCCACTCAGGATCAGGGCTTCCTAGTTGCTGCCTCTGGGCCTGGGGGCTCCCCAAGTGCACGGTGGCCTCTGGCCTGTGTTCCGGCTCAGCCCAGCTCACCAAGCCTGGGGCGCAGGGCCTCTCGTCCAAGGCCTGGGGTCCCCAGAAGGTGCTGCGGGCTGGGGCGCTGGGTGGGGTGTGGGGTCCCAAGGAGCTGGGAGGGGAGAGGGGGGCTAAAGGGGTGGGGAGGGCAAAAGGGGCAGGCGGGGCTGTTGCCCGGGCCTCCAAGGTGCCCCCCAGGGTGGGAGGGTCTGGGGCCCGGTCCATCAGCAGGGGGACCGCAGAGCCGTACCAGTCCTCCGAACGCTCTCGGGGGGTGCCCCTGGGCTCGATCCACAGTTCTCCTCCGGGGCGCCAGACCAGGGTGGGCGCGTGGTTGCTGGGGTCTGCGTGCTGAGAGCGGCGGAACAGGCGTTCTGCCAACACGGCTGTGGTCAGGAGGAAGAGAGCGGCGAGGGAGGCCAGGGCCAGCATGATGGGGATGCAGGGTCCGCACAGCAGTGGGGGCCACGAACCCATCTCTGGCACAGGGAGGCCCCCCGTGTGCCCAAAGGGCTGCTCTGGAGTGGAAGGCATCTGGAGAGACAAGGGTGGGGAGAGGAAGGCAATGAGACCGGGTGGGCACAGCCTAGAGGGCGAGAGAGGCAGTGAGTGTCCATACCACAGTGAGGACAGAGGCAGAGTCCCAAGGGGCTCGGTATCTGGCCTGGAAAACAGACCCAGGCAGATAGAGGAGCCAAGGGGACCCAAAAGGGCAAGAGAGAGACAGAAGGCTGGAGAGCCAGGGCCCCTCTGTGTCTGGGAGCCCAGCACTCCTGCTCAGGCTCTCCACCCAGCTCGCTTCCAGAAGCCCTGGTTCCCTCTTTGACCCAGGGGTGCCTCAGACAAAAACCTAAGGGCCCCCAAGGGTTTTTTCCTCCTACCTAGCACCCCCACACACCCCTGCACCCTAGGTCTTGCTGGAGCCTCAGAGGAAGTCGTGGGTAAGGAAATAAGAGTCTCCCCCCAACTCCCTGCTAAGAGTCTCCCAGCCACTCCCTGCCGGCTCCCATCCTGTGTGTGTGCACCACCCGCCGTAGGCTGGCACCTTGGATGTTCCTGCAGTCTCACGACTCTCCCCGTGAAGCAGGTCTTGCTCTCTCCAGGCTCCACTTTGCTTGCTGTTGTGCTAGGCGTCAGGCGTCCCTACTGTACCTGTTGTCGCCACCACCGACTCTGTCTCCCTTGCTTGTCTTCGCCCGCCGGGCCCCACACCTACAGGGGCCTCACCCCGGGGCAGCCCCAGGGCTCCTGTCTCTCTGTTCAGAGTTCTCCTCCCTGTGGAGGAGGGTGCCGCAGCGGCCTCAGATGAGGGCGGAAGGGAGGGCACCACCTGTTGCTGGGCGACAGTGCCCCAACTCCTCTAGGCCCAGTGGGGTTTCCTAGGCGACATGGGGGGATGTGGTCAGTGTGGTGGAGAGGCGCTTCCTGCAGAGAGGTGGGGCCCGAACGGGCAGTGGTTGGTTGCACTGAACTCCGGCTCACCCCACAGTCAGGCCCCAGGCCCCAGAACATTCACCCGGAGACCGAGAAAGAGGTCGGTTTGCAGAGCCCCGAGGCTCCTGGCTTCCCCCCGTATGGGGTTGCCCTGTCCCCTGCCTGCCCATAGGACCCCACAAAACCTGCTCCCGCCACCCAACCCACACCCCCCTCCAGCCTTCCCCATCCTTCTCATGAACATACATCTCTTTGTCTTCAGGCCATGTGGTTCAGTTTTGGCTGGAAGACATCTGTGAGGTGAGGTGTGGGTATGAGCAGAGTAAGGCCTCTGGGAAGAATCCACAGTCGGGCTGAGGCCTATCTCCAAGGCTCTGGACATTTGTCACCCTGGTCCTTTCTCCTGGGGTCAGGGAGCCTGGGGGAGGGGCATGAGGGAGTGTCATCAGCCACTTGGGTCCCTTCAGAGATGGTCTAGTTTGACTCGATGGCGGACAGATGACAAGCAGGCCCCACATAAGGGCTGTGTCATGCCCAAAGTCGCACAACCCATGTATGTGTTAGGGACCAGAGAAACACAGCTATAAATTCCCAGTCCAGCAAGCAACTGAACACAACACAACTCTTACTCAGAGTTCATATTTTCTTTTGCAAAATGACAGCCATCTAATGAGAAAGGCTAAAAAATATGTAATATGAATGTACACTGAAACGTAAGCGTCTTACCAGATGGTCACAAGGGCACCCTGACTCCCCTTGCTGAGTCCTGGAGGCTTGGAGGAAAGGATGGGAAGGAGCACAAAGTGTGGCGTGGGACGGAGTAGGTGGGAGTAGAGTCTAGAGGCTCCTGGCCCCAGACACATGGGGAAACCTGATCTGATGTGATTATAATTTGATGAGATCATAAGCCTTAAAATAAACCTGAACTTGATATCACTGAACTGGACACTTAAAAATGGTGAAAATTAGGGTGCCTGGTTGGCTCTGTTGGAAGGGTATGTGACTTGATCTCAGGGTCATGAGTTCACCTGGTACTTTGGGTGTGGAGATTACTAAAAAATATAAATAAACTTTATTTTTTTTTTAAAGGTTTTATTTATTTATTTGACAGACAGAGATCACAAGTAGGCAGAGAGGCAGGCAAAGAGAGAGGAGGAAGCAGGCTCCCTGCTGAGCAGAGAGCCCGACGTGGGGCTCGATCCCAGGACCCTGGGATCATGACCTGAGCCGAAGGCAGAGGCTTTAACCCACTGAGCCACCCAGGCGCCCCATAAATAAACTTTAAAGAAAAAAAAAAAAACAGATTAGGGGGATCCTGAGTGGCTCAGTCGGTAAAGCCTCTGCCTTCAGCTCAGGGTCATGATCCCAGGGTCCTAGGATTGAGACCCGCATCGAGCTTTGCTCTCTGTGGGGAGTCTCCCTCTCCCTCTCTTTGCCTCTCCCCCTGCTTGTGCTCTCTCTGTCAAATAAATAAATAAATAAAATCTTTTAAAAGAATAGTGTAAGATAATGAGTTTTGTTACATGTATTTACAATAAAAAAGTTTAAAAAAAATCTAAATAATAAATACATATATAAAATCTGAAAATTATGTATGTTCTGTTTTAGTCTTTCCTAAAAAAACAAGACTCTAGAAGAATAACATTATTAAAACCAGGAAGATCGGACACGATCTGGAATCAAAATTGGATTTTTTTTTTTTTTTTTTGAGAGAGAGAGAGCATGCTTCCGCACAGGAGGGGCAGGTGGGGGCGGGGGTGGGGCGGGTGCAGAGAAAGAGAGAGGAAATCCCAAGCAGGCTCCATGCTCATCATGCAGGCTGACTTGGGGTTTGATCTCATGACCCTGATCATGACCTGAGCTGAGATCAAGAGTCAGATGCTTAACTGACTGAGTCATCCAGATGCCCCTGTATGTTTTAATTCTCCTATCACTTAAAAAAAAAAAAAAAAAAAAAAAGCTTAATATTTTTTAACTAGTTCCTTAAAAAATTAAAAATAGAATTACCCGGTGATCCAGCAATTACACTTCTATGTATATCCAGAAGAACTGAAAGCACAGAGTCAAATAGGCATTTGCACACCAGTGTTGATTAGCAGTGTTATTCACAGAAGCCAACAGATGGGAAAATCTCAAATGTCCATCAACGGAGGAATGGATAAACAGAATGCCATATGCATACCTATGTATGCATAGACACAGTGGACTATTATTCAGCCCTAAAAAGGAAGGACAGTCTGACACCTGCTACAACATGGGTGAACCTTGAAAACCATATGCTGGGGGCACCTGGGTGGCTCAGTTGGTTAAGCGTCTGCCTTCAGCTCAGTTCGTGATCCCAGAGGGCTGGGATCGAGTCCCGCATTGGGCTCCTTGCTCGGCGGGGAGCCTGATTCTCCCTTCACCTGCCTTTCCCCCTGCTCGTGCTCACTCACTCTCTCTAACAAATAAAATCTTAAAAAAAAAAAAAAAAAGAAGAAGAAGAAGAAAGAAAAGAAAAGAAAACCGTGTGCTAAGTGAAATAAGCCCGTCACAGAAGGACAAGTACTATAGAATTCCACTAGTACAGAGTTCTGCAGAGCAAGCAAAGTCACGAGGACAAAGAAAGTAGAATGGCGGTTGTCGGGGGCTGGGGGGAAAGGGGAACGGGGGCTGGGTGAAAAGGGGAATGGGGAGCTGTTGTTTAGTGGGTACAGAATCTCAGTTTGACAAGATGAAAACATTCTCAAGATAGATGGTGGTGATGGTTGCACAGCCGTGTACTAACCTGTACACTTAAAAATCATTAAAATGGGGGCGCTTGGGTGGCTCAGTGGGTTAAAGCCTCTGCTTCTGGCTCAGGTCATGGTCTCAGGGCCCTGGGATCGAGCCCCACATCGGGATCTCTGCTCGGCAGGGAGCCTGCTTCCTCCTCTCTCTCTCTGCCTGCCTCTCTGCCTACTTGTGATCTCTGTCTGTCAAATAAATAAATAAATAAATAAATAAATAAATAAATAAATAAAATCTTAAAAAAAAAATCGTTAAAATGGAGGTACCTGGGTGGCTCAGTGGGTTAAGCCTGGGCCTTCGGCTCAGATCATGATTTCAGGGTCCTGGGATCAGGCCCCGCATCAGGCTCTAAGCTTTGTGGGGAGCCTGCTTCTCCCTCTCTCTCTGCCTACTTGTGATCTCTCTCTGTGTCAAATAAACAAATAAAATCTTTTAAAAAAATCATTAAAATGGTAAAATTTATGTTGTATGTATTTTACTAAAATAAAAACGCTAAGTAATAAAAATAATATAGAAAATTGAAACATAGAGAAGGAAATTATTGCTTGTGATTGCCTCATTCCCGAATAAGCCTGCATTCTTTTTTTTTAAGATTTTATTTAAAAAAAAAAAGATTTTTTATTTTTAAGTAATCTCTACACCCAACATGGGGCTCAAACTCACAACCCTGAGTTCAAGAGTCACATGCTCCATTGACTAAGCCAGCCAGGTTCCCCAGCCTGCAATTTTTTTTTTTTACAACCTTCTGCATGGCGGGGATCAGAACACCAGATGTCCTGACCCTCAGGTTCCTCCCATTCCACTGCTCAAGAGTTTCTGAAACCAGAAATCAGGAAGTTACTCAAGGAGTGTGGGCAATAGAGAAGTCTCTGGGTCAGAAGTCTACGAAACAAGCCTTGGTGGGGGGTATCTTTGGGGTTGATGATGGGGTGCTCCTGGGGGTAGATGTTCAGGGGGGAACCTCATAGTACCTGGAACCAGCGAGAGAAAACTAAATTCTCCTAGACTAGGTGGTGGGCTTGTGGGCTGCCGTGTGCAGAATTCTGTCCAAGGGGCTCTTCCCTCTTAAGTGTTGTGGTGGTTTTAAAACTTTTTTTTTTTTTTTTTTTTTGACACAGAGAGATCCCAAGTAGGCAGAGAGGCAGGCAGAGAGAGGAGGAAGCAGGCTCCCCGCTGAGCAGAGAGCCCGATGACTCTGGGCTCAATCCCGGGACCCTGAGATCATAACCTGAGCCAAAGGCAGAGGCTAAACCCCCTGAGCCACCCAGGCGCCCCTCAAACTTTTTTTTTTTTTTTTTAAGATTCTATTTATCTATTTGACAGACAGAGATCCCAAGTAGGCAGAGAGGCAGGCAGAGAGAGAGGAGGAAGCAGGCTCCCTGCTGAGCAGAGAGCCCAATGTGGGACCCTGAGACCACGAACTGAGCCAAAGGCAGAGGCTTTAACCTACTAAGCCACCAAGGTGCCCCATGTGGTGGTTTTAAACATGTCCGCAAATTCCTTGACATTCCTTTTATCATAGGGTGGGGCCTTGTCATATCCTCCACCACCCCCCCCCACCCTCCCCCGTGCCCTCCCCACTCCAGGTCTCTTGAACAGAGGCTGACCTTAGTGGCTGACTTCTAATGAATGGAAGAGAGTAGAACTGACAGCACATCCCAAGCCTAGGTTGAAAAACAAAGGGACAGGGGGTCTGTGAGTGGCTTAGTTGGTTGAGCGTTGGAGTCTTGGTTTTGGCTCAGGTTGTGATCTTGTGGGTTGTGGGATCAGTCTCCGCTTCTGGCTCCACACTCAGCAGGGAGTCTGCTTAAAAGATTTTCTCTCTGCCCTCCCCCTGCCTAAAATGAATAAATAAATCTTTAAAAATAGAGAGAAAGAGAGAGAGACAGGGGTGCCTGGCTGGTTCCGTCTGTGGAGCATGTGACCCTTTATCTCAGGGCTGTGGGTTCAAG